AATACGCTTAGCAGTATAGGTCCCATTTCAAATGGCCACTTCGACTTGGGATCCTTCCCTTGTTAGTTTTTCTAACGGAATCGTGGCTGAGTTGTGGTATTGAGCTCTCGTCTCTGTTAGATGTTGCAGGGACGCAATTTAGCCATGCAAGATGTGACCGTATTGGTAAAAAGGGTGGTGGTGTGTTGCTACTTATCAGATAATCCATCCCCTACAATCTGGTTTTCAAGGAATCAGTTTCTGATGCACATGAATACATGGTTCTTGATGCTTCTCCTGTTCGGTTCATCCTGATTTATGGGACCCCCTCATGTAATCTCCAAGGTTCAACTATGTTTCTTAAAGCCACAAGTGACTACTGCTCCTACAATGGTCCCACAATCGTTCTCGGTGATTTCGATCTCCCGATGTTTCATGGGAAGAAAGCCATGTAGAAAATCTCGTTTCTAAGGCTTTCGTTGATATGTTTCAGTCTCATAGCTTTATGCAACTAGTTCGCGGTCCCACCAGAGGCAAATCTTGTCTCGATCTTGTTTTCTGCAATTCTCGTTTGCTATTATCTAGAACAAAACTAAAACCCTTCCTCCATTAAGTACCAGTGTTCATGCCGCGATCGCTTTTCACCTAAACGTCTCCGGGCCCCGACCACCACTTTCCATATCCAGAGACTTTAAGAAAGCGAACTTGCAGGCCATGTGACTACCTTTCTACAATCGACTGGATCGGCTCGCTCGACTCAGTCGATTCAGTGGATGAGAAATATGAAATGTTCCTTGCAATATTGGATGATGTCATCAAGAGGTTCCCATGCTTCAAAATCTGTCCGGTTCACCTCACCTACCAGCATATCTGGTACGTATGATCTCACGCCATTCCAAGCTATGGAATGCGGCTGTAAGACTTAACTGTGAATCAGCTTGGACGTCGTACAGGTCTGCATCTGCAAACTGGAAGCTTGAGAAAGCGTTAATCAAATATTATTCTAATCTTGAGGACAAGTTTACGAAAACCAAGGACGCTTCCAAGCTTTACAGGTACATCACCTTTAGGATGAAGGACAAAAATAAAATACCCTCTCTTATGGTCGATGATTCTCATTTTGCAATTAGTGATAGGGATAAAGCTGAGCATCTGGCACGTAAGTTTCACCAATCTTTTAAGTTCCCTTCCCAGAGCCTTCCTCAGAATTTACATCCTATTTGCCCAATTATGGAGCATTCCATCTGGTTTCATAAAGATGAAATTTTTGAGGTCCTTTCTAGCTGGCCGAACTCTTCCTATGTCACACCTGATAATATTCCCCTCCGGTTTATCAAAATGATTCTTGCTTACATTCTTTATCCGCTTGAGAACATTTTTAAACTGTCTTATATGAGGGGTGAAGTTCCTTCTTGTTGGAAGCGTTCAATAATTCTACCGGTCCCTAAAAAGGCACCGTACAATAAATGTGAAAACTATCGGCCTATCAGCATTACTTCAGTATTTGCGAGAGCGTTTGAGAAAATTATGAAGCGTCGGCTCACGGTCCACTTAGAGCATATTAACATTATTCCGTCTTCACAACATGGCTTTTGTAAGGGACGTTCAGTCGAAACCGCTTTGCTAGTATCTTTGAATGATTGGACCAAGGCACTAGATGAAAGGAAGGATGTCCATGTAGTATATTTTGATTTCTTAAAAGCTTTTGACCGAGTGCCCATACTCCTTCTTTTGGGTAAGCTTCAGTATGTCGGCTTTCATTTTAGAGTCATTAGGTGGATCAGTGCTTTCCTACTCTCTCGGAGATATCGAGTCCGTATTGGGGACGTTTTATCCAGTCAATATCCGGTCATCAGCGGTGTGCCTCAAGGCGGAGTTCTGTCACCACTGCTATTTTTAGTATACACCTGCGACCTGCCCAGCTCGCTATCTAGCTTTGGAGTGACCTGTTTGATGTATGCTGATGACATCAAGATTTATAAGGTCGTTAGTAACTTGGAAGATTCTAGCGAACTACAAGCGACAATTGATAGTGTGGAGTCCTGGTCCGTCAGATGAGCTTTGCCTCTGTCTTATGAAAAACTTTATTTTTCTGTATTGGTAAAATCCCTAAAGCGAAATACCGATTAGGGACCACAGAGCTCAACTGTGTTTCCAATGTTCGTGATCTCGGCTTCAAATTCGACAATAAGCTCGGATTTGATAAGCACTATAGAGATATCGTATCCAAAGCCATGTACAGAGTTCATAATCTTTTCAGAGCTCTCCACTCAAAGCGCTCTCGGATTCTCATTAGAGCTTATAAGACTTATGTTAGGCCAATCCTTGAATCTGGTACTACAGTTTTCAGTCCATACAAGAAAAAAAGATATACGCCTACTGGAACGTGTCCAGTGTTTTACGCGCAAACTTGCTATGTTGCCTGTTCTGGGATGACTTATGAATATATATTGCTCATAGTACTGATCGACGCCGCGTCTTTTCTGTGTCTAGTCTGTTGATGAGAAGAAAGCTTAGAGATCTCCTAATGGCGTTTAAGTTCCTAACTGGTGCGGTTGCAGTAGACTCGGTCAATTTTTTCGAACTAGTCACTTCCAAGTTAACAGGTCCTTCGATTAAAGTCAAAATCCCACCGGCGCGAACACGGATTCGCTCCATATTTCTCCTCACAAGTTATACCTCTTTTAAACAAAATATTACGTGATGACATTATGCGCCTTTCTCTGAACTCTTTCAAAGGCCTAGCCATCAAAGCTCTACATGCGGATAGGACTTGTATGCTTCCTGGTTGAGGTTGAGTTGTTATTTCCCCATTGCCTCCTCTTATTTTTGATTTTTCATGCCATTTATTCTTAGTCGTGTTGGGGTATAGTTTTGCTATACTCTTGCGTTTGATATGTTCTGTTTGTTACTGTCATTTCGTTTGTATCGCAGGCATTTGTCCACGTGGATAATCTGTTTATCTGCGTACAAATGAATAAATAAAATAGAAAACAGTTTGTGTTTTGAAGACGTTACGTGCGAGAACCCATACATCACTCTTGGGAGTTGTTGTTTACAGAATGAATGGGAACTTAGCTGTTAAAAACTGACTACATGTGGTCATTTGCGCATCACCCTCGACCTTACAGAAGATTTTAGATATTATAGCACGGCAAAGTAAGTAAACCACGTATACTACACATTTACCAAATAGCAAGGATGGCTGGAAAGTAAAGAAGGAGCTCACGGTCTGCAATCAAAAAAACCGAGAAAAAAAACCTTGAACAAAAAAAAAACGGGTTTGATCGATCTGTAAAGGCAATAACAAGCTCCGCAAAAGTTGCAAAAAAGTGTCGGTACCTGAATCAGGTCATGTTGACAGGCCGGCTGACGGAAACTTCGTCACAACAAAGATGGTTGAAGTCACGAAAGGGTTCACGTTATGTTGCCCAGAAGTGGCGCACAAAACGGCTGGAAAGAGCGAAGGCTAGAGAAATCGGGGGAGGTGTCAAGCTCTCCTTCAGTGGATGAGACAAAAAGGAGTGATGTTACTCTCACAGTAGCGGAACCCTCAAAAACACTGTCACTCCTGTTAATGGGTTCAGCGGACACATGACTGGATCGAGAATAGATGGGAAGAAAACTACTGCACATTAGTATTCGTGTACCAAGTGGAAGCCGGCTGCCTCTATACCGAAAAGGTTCTTTCTAAGTTCTGAAAAATCCATCAGATCAGTTCCGGGAGGGTACCCTTCCACATAAGCTGGAGATCTGAATGGCTATGTTATAGTGATAGGAGAGTCCAATTATTCTGTTACTGAATAATAGAGAGTATGAAATGCGATATATTGCATATGACAAGATTGATGTGTTACAGTATGGCTAGTTAAGTACCATCCACAGTAAAACCAAGTAATTCAACCTATTCCTGCATTGAAAAGACGTTTATATTGGCAGGCAAGCAGGCAGGCAGGGGGCCGGCAGTCAGACAGACAGACAGACAGACAGACAGACAGACAGACAGACAGACAGACAGACAGACAAACAGGCAGACGAGATATATGAATAAAAAGGATCATAGAGGACGAAAATGAGTTTTACATCACTGCTAAAATTTCATCAAAATTCCACACGAAATTTCACTGATGCTATTGGTTTTCGTTGGAAACAATCCCGTATTTTTCGACTTCAACCTTTGTATTGGTAAGAAATCATACAATTTACAATCTGATGTGATGCAGATGACAAGAGGAATTGGCTATGTATACAGCCAAGATATAAGGGGTAACAAAGCAATTCTATTTATTTTACAGTGAATAAAGGAGTCTTCAAGGAACATGAAGGTGTTGCTCCATACGTCTCATTTTCCCGAATAAATATGACGATTACACGCAGAAAAAAATTCATAGAAGCCATTACGACGCCTACATGCACTACGTCATCGGGCAGACCCGGTATAGGACGCGAAAGTATAGTACAGCGCCACATGGTGCCATATCACAAGAAAGGTTCGAGATCGAATCTTAGATTGGTAATCACCCAGGCTAATCAAGCCATCTTTCCCTCAGAGGGCTTCTGATTGTTACCCAACCCACAGGAATTGATAAAAGTCCAGAAGTCATCTCATAAGCGACAAACGAATAAAATCCTATTGAATGGAAGTCGAATGCAAGCACCATCTCATTTGAGGTTTGAACAAATTTAAAAGACTTCATCCTAATAATAACGCTGCAGTCAGTGAATTGCATATTTTCCGCTGTTATAATGAAGGGGAAAATTTGTCCCACTGGGGACTAGTGTGCAGGGAAGATCTTGTCAGTGTACCATACTACCAAAATCTCTATTTATGAAATCTACTACGTTCAGGATTATTTTCTCATCTATGATCAAGTAGGAAATTCAGATTACTTCAGGATAACACATCCGTCTGCTTTAAATTGCTGAAATTGCACTGCATTGATCGTATGGAACAAAAGCCATTAATAACTCTGCTTAGCCCAGTGATAATAGTGCATATGAACCCTCAAACTGCCTCGTTTTTGAACCAAAAGGAAACCAGACGAAAAAAGAAGTGATGAAGCGATAATGAAAAAATCTTAAGCGCTTATCAGTAACCGGAAAGCATAACTTTTTTCACCCCTATTCACTTTAGGGTGCAACAATCGTTGAAAATAAAGGCAGGTTCACTTTTATGAAATAAATGTAGGTGGGGCCAAAGATTTTGAATATTGAAAATCAAAACAACCCAGCATCATAAAATTTGAGTAACACGGTTGCCTACTCTTTGAAAAAGTCTCGAGAAATATTTACTAAGACATTTGACTTTGCACGTTCCCTTACCGGATGCAAATATGATATAAATGGTTCTTTGAACTATGACGTATCTACTGTCCGCTTTTTCAAACGATTTTTTTTATCAAAAGAGAAAAAAGAATTGATTTCAGTCCAAAAGTTGCTAGACGATTTTTTTTAGTCTTTTAGCCACGTTATCTAGCACTTCCTATCACGGCAGGAAGCAGTTTTTTCATGACAGCTAGTTTATAAAGAAGTGTAAGCAGTTGTTGATATGCCCTCAATCAGCCAGAAAAATGGTAAGCTATTTCTTCAAGTTGCTTCCTTGAAAGAGGTTCAGCAACTATATGAACAGCAGATTGAGAAATTTCGTTACAGAAGTACTTCACGCTTGCGCTCTATGTATGTCTGTGCCAAGCAGATGTAGTTGGTTGGTCCCCCAATTTTGGCTTGGAATGAATGTCATTGTGAAAACATATTTTATAATCCACTTTTTACAGGTACTCGAAAAATTCCAGTGGAGGCACAAAGGTTAAGCGGTAAATCTCTTGTCGAATACCTCAGAAAGAACCAGGACCTCTTTGAGGTAATTCTATGTTCACTAGAATTCCACTACAAATACATTTTGCTTGCAGGTCAATCCCGATCCTACACCTGATTTTGAGCTCAAAATAATGGACAAAAAGTTCGCACATCAAAATATAAACAATATTGTCAAGGACGATAACGACACTGGGGAGGACATTCCGGAAGAGTAAGGCATCAAATCTTTTCAATTTTGAAATGACTCCTCCAATTCTTAAGACAAGACTTCAAAAAGGTCGACATTTGGGAAATGTTGAAGGCATTCCGCTCAAAAGTATGTCGAAATGTATATAAAGCAAGAACAGCCGAACAATGAATACAGGCACTCAAATTCTCATTTTTTCCTCGCCTTGTTTCTTTGTTGAAGGCGTCTTCATCGAAAACCAACAGCGATGGAAATATCAAGAGATCTTTGAGATTTCTTAACATCTTGGGAAGCTGCGTTCACACAGGCTGAATGTTCAGCTGCTTGCTCACTGGTCGTCACGACTATTACCTGAACTTGTCGGAAGTTTCTTACCGCCGGACAATGAAAAACGTAAAACTGTACGAATAGCTCTTCCTCACTTAATGGTCATCCTTATACTCTTTCCTATAAGGACATTTCAGATACCCTGTCAGAAAGTTTTCACAGATTCAAAAACAGCTACATTTTCGATCATCGCATACCGAAGCATAGAGGCCCTTTTCACGAGATAACGCAAAGCCCTCAAGGAATGCAGAGTATACTCGCCATTGTATTGTATTGTAGCGTACGAGCCTGCGTGACGCACCTCTCAAT